GTTTCCTCATCTGTACAATAAATAACAAATATTATTATTATTAATTAGTCATAGAATTGCTAAGATGACCAAGGAAAAAAATTACATGTAAAACACTCAAAATGGTGTTTTGTCATGTGACACTCAGTATGTTCGCTAGTCAACCACAACCTTGAAACAATATAGAAGTAAAAAACCAGACAAAAATATTCCTGGATATCTAGCAATCTGCCAGTTACTCTTTCTCATGTCTTGTTTCTACAGTTTTGACTCTACTGCATTTCACGCCCATTCAATTCAGCAAACATACCCCTGTCAGAGGCTTCTACTCAAAGTAGAAATCTTAAGTCCCACTCTGCTGAGATCTTAAAATATTCTCCCTTGAATACAATGTAAATTCCTTTGGATAGTATTCCATGCACTCAGAAATCATGAGGCAAACTCAAACCTACTCTGTCAAATATACTTAGTATTACTCCTACTGTCTATGCTCCAACCAGCTCAATTAAATGATCTTCTGACGCTACATCTGCTGAAATTACTCTAGGTGGAAATTTCTCCCTGCACTACTATTTGACCATTGTCTCTATCCCTCGAGACCTGCTTAGAAGGTCAGCTATTCACAAAGCCTCTCTTGATCTTCTTAAGAAGATACCTATATTCTTAGGTTTTTGCTACAAGCTTCTTCATGATAAAATAGCATGTCTATTGGATTAACATTTGAATTTATTTTTATCTTCCACGGAAGATGATGGAAGAGGTAACCAGGGTTATGCAATCAGCTTTCCAAGATGGCCAACACAGCACATAATGTTGGCCTTAATTTTCCTTATACAGCTCCTGTGAGCAGCCTGCCTTCTACAAGGCTCTGTAATTGTGTCCCTTCCTGGACTGCCTTCTTCATTTTACCCTCGAAGTACTTAGGAAGAAGCTTGGTAGACAGACTGTGCAAGCTCCAAACAGCCTGGCTCTACTGGTATCGCACTTAGTGGGAAACTGAATAAAGAGTACAAATTTGATAATGCGATATAAAAAGAATGTTTTATTTTAAATAATGTATACATTATGTTTTCTGGTCATTTTTAAGTTTTGTGTCAGTATCTGTGACTATTAAGAGGGCACAAAAACAATTTTTCGAAGAGCAAACCACTATAAAATAGCATGCCTCAGAGGTTGGAAAGATGGCAGAAGGTGGGGACAAAAAAGAACATGTGGGCTGCACAGGAGTTATAGATATAAAGGAGTAGTTTTACTACATGATCACACTGTTTCAGGAATAAGGACATTCTGAAAACCAACCCAAGCCAATACACAAGTCCAAAGCAGGTGGAGTTTATTTTTCCTACCTCTGAGGAACTAGAGGCATGTGAAGAGAGCATTTACCTCTTTAATAATACACAAGAAAGTACAGAACCAGAGGCTATAAGAAAATGATGAGTTTTTATGAGTGTCTGACATCACTCACCTATAATTGTTATTTTTATTACCCTGTTAGATTTATTTTGATGATACAATTCAGTTAGATAAATTTGCAGTACAATTCAAACAAGTTTATTAATAAAATGAATCATGATAATTGTAAATTAACAAAGGGCCTCAGATTTATTTAACAGGATTATTTATAAAAACATTTCTGGCTATTTTAATGATATATTTTTATTTTTCTACTTTATTACACCCTTAAGATGGGCTTGGGAAATATTAATTAAATGCATAGAGATTGATAATTAACTCAAGACCTGTTTCTTTTGTTGGTGAATCTATTTTACAATTTCTCGGCCGGGTCATTTGTGCTAGACTGCGATAGACAGAAACAAATCCATGGAGGAAAAAGCGCACAAAGAAAAATGGCACCGAAGCTAACTCGCCTAATGCAATTAGACAAAACCCTAACTCACTTTTCAAAGCATATTTATATAGAATTCAGAGAATTTTAAAAATGTTGTTTATTTAACTTCCCTTCAGAGGGAATGTGACATGACTCATTTTCATCACAGAGACACACAAATTTCATGAGATGTTATTATTTATTTCACTGACAAAACATCAGTAAATTAATTGCCATCACTTTAATCAAGGTAATAGGAACCAGGGTCATATCTTGTAATTTATTTATTTATTTATTTATTTATTTATTTTTTATTTGGTTGTTACGTTTTTTTGAGACGGAATCTCCCTCTGTGGACCAGGCTGGAGTGCAGTGGCACGAAATCGGCTCACTGCAAGCTCTGCCTCCCGGGTTCACGCCATTCTCCTGCCTCAGCCTCCCGAGTACCTGGGACTACAGGTGCCCCCCACCACGCTCGGATAATTTTTTGTATTTTTTAGCAGAGACGGGGTTTCACCATGTTAGCCAGGATGGTCTCGCTCTCCTGGATCTCCTGACCTCCTGATCCGCCTGCCTCGGCCTCCCAAAGTCGTGGGATTACAGGAGTGAGCCACCACGCCCGGCCGTTGTAATTTATCATGATATTCTGAGGCTGAGGAAAACCCATTCACGGAATTTTTTTTAAAGCTATAAAATTTGAGACCCGAATTAAATTCCTAAGGGAAAAATACAGAAAAACAATGATACAGAAGCTTAAGTGAATATTAAAGTTATGCCAATGGTCTAAGTTACTAAACACTGAGGATCATAACTGATGGAGTCATCAGACTCATGGAAATACTTCTAGAGCAAAAGTAAATGTGAAACAGAAAAACTAGCGTCACCACAATGTGATTTGTTCTCCATTAAATGCCCAAAGACACTGATCGCCAATTATGTGGATAGCCACATTTTAGTTACAAAATCAAATTCGAGTTCGTTATGGCAAATCAAACACAACATATGTCTATTTTGCAAGCTAATGCTTAAAATTGATATGTATATAAAAACAGATACAAAAGAAATCAGATTTCCCAATTAGAACCTTGAAATTAGGGAACTGCAATACATTTGGACAGAAGTTCGAAAATTAATATGGGGCTTCATCGCATTGCATGTGATTATATGCGGCCATGGTTTTGAAAAGTGAATTAAAACTTGAAAAAATAAAATGAAAAACAATAGCTTTATCAAATTAACACAGAGGCTAACTTAATACATTATTTGAAATCATCTTCTTAAATCAGTAAAGCACTTGGGTTGGTAATATTTGAATTCACTTTATCAAAAAATATAATCATTTATTAAAATAACATGACTTAAAAGTCTTGAAACATCTCATTCCTTATCTATGTGTGTCACCACCTTTAGAATGTGGGCCAAAGGTTGCATTCAGGTGATAAGATCTGACATAGCTACTAGTTTTTAATATATTGACAAATCTCTATACTGACTGATCAATAAGCACCACCAGAGCCCTCCAGAGAACATCTCCTAGCTCTGCCGGAGCCCTGCACTCCCAAGTTTCAGCATCTAGAGTGAATGCCAGGAGAAAAGGCGACCTCGAGACACTGCCCAGGCATCGTCATTGTCTTCTTTTATGATTAGTCTGTGTCTGTTCGTTGTTGAGAAATTTTAGAGTTATCACTGAGGAGGCCTGTTCTTCATTTAAAATATATTTGTTTTCCCATGAAGCTGCTGTGTGTTAAATATATGTGAACTATCCATTCTTATTATTATACTTCATTTCGTGTTTTTTTTTTTTTTTAAGTCTCCACGAGTGGATTTCTGGTGAAAATACCTTTTAATCAGGGAATCAGCATTCTGTATATTTAGGAGAAAATGGAGGGGACGGACATTCCGGACAGTTACAGAACAAATTAATTGTAAAGTGTTCACCTATTTCACTATTTTTGTTGCTGTTACAAATAAAAACATCTTGACAGTTATATCATACTTTTGATATTATCATTCAAAGGGAAAGGAGTCCTCTGAAGATTTTTAAATAGAGAAAACAATAGAAAATATGATTAATTCTTTAAAAAAATCTTTGGTGTATTAACTTTGAATTAAAGGGCAAAAAAGGAACCATGGTAAAAAATAAACCGGTCAAGCCAAATAAAAACGGTACATTTTATCATAAGCAATGTGTATAAAACTATGTAGCACAACAATGGAAAATAATCTTTATTTGTCATGTTCAATACCTTTTCTGTATTCCCTAGTTTATCAAATTCATTGAAGTGATTCTGCAGCTTGACATCTTTTCAAGATAGAGTTTTTATAATGGCTATGATAACTCTCTGACTTTTCTATTATAAAATTTTATTTTATTTTCTATTTATTTATTTTTTAACATATATGACATTGAATTCCTAGTAGGGAAGTATAACAGTAATTCATCTATTTAGTTTGCAAAGCCTGCTTGAATTGCAAAGTCCAAATTTTACTAGGCCAGACTGCTCTGCTAGTGGAAGGAGAGTGTTCTTTCAACCTGGAGAATTCAGCAGTTTTGAAAATGTTGGGAAGCATATATACTGATAGTAACTCTTATTTTAAAAATTTATTTTGTCAGATTACACACTGAATATTTTTTAAAAAGCCACTCACCAAATCAAACTTTACAGAGTGTGTATATAACTTAATAACAATAAGATATATTTTGGGATTTTACTTTATGTTAAACACATCATAATCACTGAGCTTTCAGGTGTATTATGTGTGCCTGAGAATAAGAATAATTCATAATGGTGTAGTTTAGTTCTTAAAAGGGCTTGTGATTTTAAAGCAGTTTAAAAAAGAGTTCCCTATTCTAAAAGAAGAAAATATTCCCCTAAACTTCCAGAAGCCAAATATTTTGGGAAGTAAACCTCAATACTGAAGGACATCCTGTACGCTAAAAGGTGGAAAGAGTTGATATAAAATGTGTATTTATGTAAGTCAGTTTTTTAATCACTCTAATGGAAGAAAACATTTCTCTTAACTCAAATTAGGAAATTATTATACATTTTATATATATTTATATAAAAAGTCATAAGTAGCAAGCATATGACATAAAGAAATGGAAGAGTAACAACAGTCTTTGACAATGCATGCTTTTTACAATGTGTCTAACAAAAAGGATATTTTCCCAACTCAAATATCCAGGACTGACATGCAGGGTATTTTCTCAAACTGGCAATTTGGTCATATTGCTGAGTGCTTAATCAAAAACATTTCTACTGTAGAGTATGAATGGTAAAATACCTGACTTCAAAAAGGATTTCTGAAACTCAGTACTTTCTTTGATATAAAACAAAAAGGAAATCAGGGGTATATAGGAAAGACCAAAAAATGAAATTTTTTATTGCAATCTAGTAATTTTACTTGTTACTTTTTCCTGTTATTTAATCAGAACATAATAATAGGTGTGTATAGTCCATAACCTCTAGCTGGTGATTCCATGGTCCACACTGTCACTTTTCACTGTAGCATGTTCAAAATCATTCAGGAACGCACTATTCTCAAGCAGTCTATATAATGAAAACAATGTACATGTAACACAAAGTTCATCTGAATTCGTGTTTTTTTTCCACATATCACACAATGTACAATTATATAACAAAGACATAAAACAACATAGAAACAAAAGTGAAACTGACAATAAAAATAAAGTTGGGATAGTCTTAATCGGGAACTAATTTCTTCTTCAAGTTTCCAGTTAATCTCAAAATGTATTTAAAAACTAAGGAGCACTTGGTGGCCAGCAACCAAATTACGAAATGAACATATCATTGTGCAGCGGGGATGTCTTGCCGAAGGAATAACAAATGTCTGTAATTCTTAAGTTTGGATAAAGGCAGTGGAATGAATTTAGAAATATGTCCACTTTTCACAATTCACTACAGAATTTTCTTTTCAGTCCCCATGTTTGTATAAATAGTTCTTCTCTGAAAATAAAAAACAGTTAAAACATTTTCTCCCAATGAAAAATGCATACAAATACACCAATTTATTAATGCATTCACCTAGTTCAAGAATAGTTGATAGGCTTGAGAAGTTTAGAAGAGATTAGCTGTCAAGCAAATTCAACTGGAGACAAATTAGGCTAATATAGATATAGACAATCAAGAGCAAAAACTAAAGCCATTGTGATACCCGATGACAAAATCGATGTACACAAGGACAACTGGGATTAATGAAACCTTTTGCATTCAAATTTTATAGTATAAAATTTGACACGGCATGCTACATCTAATTTTGATGAGATGAGCTACATATTCATGCAAAAATAAGAGTTTATAAATTGTGTAAGTACCAAAAATATTTAGTGTATGAATTTTGAGTAGAATGTTGCCAAATTACATAAAGTAGTTACCAGTTTTAAATATTAACTTCAGCTACACTGAGACTGAATATTCTATTTTCTTAGTTTGAAAACCTTGGGTTTTTTCTAGTATTTCTTTGGAGAAAGTTCATTAATTTTATTATCTGTACCTTAAAACATGTAAAATTTAGATGATTAATTTGATGTCCTTCTAAATTACAGTTTAGTACAATTCTTGATGGTAAGAATACTAAGATTTGTTTTAAAGGGACGTATCCTGAGAATCATCTCTCCTATAAACACTGAACCCATTGTATTTCTAATCATGAAATGTCATGAAACACGTATCTCAAGAAATAATGGATAAATAGCACATTCCCTAAAAAACTACAAGACAGTTGCAACAAAACAGAATACGACAAAGTAGGAAAAGGAACCAAGGGCATCTGCTTACCTTGAATTTTCTTTTTAGACCCTAGTTGTGTTGTATTCAGATTCATGTTTGCTTAGAGACCCAATGAGGCAGAACCTGGAATGTTACGGCTATTTCATTCAACAAAGTACTATTTGCACAAAAAATATATGTATACAAATATTTACTCAAAAGCATTTTTAAAATTCAGAAAACTGTGGAAATAGACTTATGTCTGCATGCAAAACATATCAAACCAACTAAAGTATTTTAGGTTTTGAGACTATCATGAATGGAGAAAGTATGTCACAATTTATAAAATAAATGGAATGCTAGTAAACATGCAAAACGAAGTATAAGTTGACAAGATTTCAGAATTTAAAATAATTTTTCCTAAATTTAAGTATTTTTCTCAAAAATTTTACTCATTTTAAGGCTAATAATACAACACAGATAATATTGTATTTATAGTTAAAGGAAAATAAATCAAATGTTTCTACTGTTTCTAACAACATTTAAGTGTAAATGATGAATACACTGCACTATCCTATGCAATTTTTAATATAAACATTATGTAATATGTGAAAGACAAGTATTTTTGTGTTCCTACCAAAAATAAATACATTATATTGAAAAATATGTTACCTCAGGATTAAAATTGTTTATCAAGATGGGTGAGCCATCTTGGTAAGGCAATCGTTTTCAAATACCATTTCGTATCAAAATATATAAATACTGATGGGAGCAATGGTCACATGGAAGCAAGTTTGCATTATAAATCTATTATATATCAAAAGCCATAATTTTATAAAATAAATATGTGTACATGTTTAGAAATAAATAACGTATCTTTGGTCTCTGTGTGCATGTGTGTTCACACACATATACATATCCTGCACGTGTATGAGGTTTAGGAGGAATACGGATAGCAGTGAAAAGGAAAAAGAAGAGGGGAACTATTGGAAAACTAGGGTTTAAATCATTAATTAAAGGGAAACTGAAATATGAAGACAAAATAGAAGACAATACTCTGGAAGTATTTCAGTCCTCAGGTTATAGTTGTCATCAAAAAATCTATTGATACTGACCGCTGGACGGCTTTATCGTGTCTGGACAGCCTGTGACTGGTGGTCGGCACCTCTTCGATTTCGTCTATGTCACAGGCATCTGCAGCATCTTGCGAGTAGTTGTGTTTCATGACAAGGATATTTCTTCTGTTCATGGGTGGGATGAGGGGTTTTCCTGGCTGCGTGGGCATCTCTGTCAAGATAGAAGCATCTCTTGTGCTGAGGTTACTGCGGCTGCCTTTAGTGCTGGACAGCTGTGATCCACAGTGATGGTCATGAATGCATTTGGAAGATGACCTCCGCAGTTTATGGTAATTTTCAAAGTCATCTGCCACATCTGCAAAGTCAGCTGTAGCTCCTGTCCCTCTGAGAGTGCATAACTCATAATGAGGAGGTTCAAATACCTCCTGGAAAACTGTCTGGTCAAAGTCTGATTTCCTTTGGACATACTTTTTACGAGGCTGTTTGATCTGTACGATGACAGAGATGATAATGAGGATGATCACGATGCAGGAAGTCACGCCAATGACAGTCCCACTGGTGTTGGTCAGCTGGTCCAGCAGGCTAGTTTTCCTCTTCTCTATGGGTTGGAGAGAGTGAAAACAACAAACGGACAAAACGAGAAGCAACACGGCAAAATTTAATATTATAGTCAAAATGTGCATTAAAACTTAAATAAAGCAGGCTGAGCACAGAATTTTGACAGGCTTGTAGTAGCTTAAGAAAATATTTAAAAATAAATACAAGGTCTCGTTTTTCACAAGAAAACCACTGAGCAGCCTTAAAAATAGCCCTCCCTCCCCATTGCCCAGCATCTCAGCCTGTCTCTTATACACATCTAGATGTGTACACACACAGACACTAATACAAACACACACACAGACACTAACACAAACACACACACTATCCTCTACTATTCTATCTATCTATCTATCTGTCTGTCTATCTATCTATCTATCTATCTATCGTAGCTTAGGAAAATATTTAAAAATAAATACAAGGTCTCGTTTTTCACAAGAAAACTACTGAGCAGCCTTAAAAATGGCCCTCCCTCCCCATTGCCCAGCATCTCAGCTTAAAATACACACACACAGACACTAATACAAACACACACACAGACACTAACACAAACACACACACTCTCTATCCTCTACTACTCTATCTATCTATCTATCTATCTATCTATCTATCTATCTATCTATCTATCTATCTATCGTAGCTTAGGAAAGTATTTAAAAATAAATACAAGGTCTCATTTTTCACAAAAAATACACTGACCAGTCTTAAAAATAGCCCCCCTCCCCATTGTCCAGCATCTCAGCTTACAACACACACACACACACACCCCTATCTATAAAGTAACAATAATATTCTGATACCACAGAAAAATTCAATTCAATCTGAAGACACACACGTATGGAATGATGGCATGGACTCTTTCCCAAACGAAATAATCACAACTGTTAGAAAATTATTTTAAAAACTCAACCAATCAAAGCCTGGTTTAATGAAACTCCAGAAATTGTCCTAATGGTGTACATCAAGTGGAGAGGTATTTATATAAACCAGTCTACTAAGTGTCCTTAGGAACAGTGAGAGTCTGTGGCATTTGAGCCATGACTTGCTTCCTTCACTCTTGATTCACCATGATGGGAGCCCTCCTCAGGCAGGTGTGGAAAAGAACGCAGGGCACCCTCTCCCTGCAGCTCCCAGTTAAGTGAGTTATGGCATCTCCTTAGGAGGGGAAAGCTACCAGCATTTCTCAACCAGGTCCATGTTGGACATGCTTCTTTTCTGGCCTGAGTGGCTGAGATGTCTGGGGCTCCCGAGGTTCCTCCTCTGAGCCTCAACTTGGAGGTCAGGAGCTCAACACAAGGTGTCTCCAGTGGAGAATGCCAGGCCTGGATCATGCTTACCCAATTTTGCTGACACAGGAGAGCTGCCTGGAGTGGCAAGTTGACAACACCACATGTTAGCAACCTCACCCAAGTACTCTGTGCATAAAGAGACCTGCGCCACTGTTCCTGTCCCCATCCAGAGCACTGGTGGAGAAGTTGTGCCCAGAAAGAGAGCAGGGCCACAAGTACAGAAAGGATTATAGCTTCCCCTAAATAAAGTTAGTTTATTTGAAATGGTGTGTGGAGAAACTCAAGCCTAATGATAATTTCAAAAACTATGGAGATTTTGTGATATGCACAGGCTTCTAGACATTCTAAGGTTTGTCTTATTGCTCTAAAGACACTAACTGCCTCTTAGTGTTTTAAGAGGGCCTGGTTGATACTTGGATGGGAGACCACCTGGGAATATCTGGCGCTTTATGCACTTAAGAGGCAGTATGCAATTAAGAGACCGTTAGTGTCTTAAGAGCAATAACACGAACCTTGGGACATCGATAAGTTTAACAGAACAAGTTAAGAGAATAACAGCTAACGAGAGTCCTCCTGGGTTATAACAACTCACAAAAGCAAGACTCAAGGACTACCTTTGCAATTAATTAAATTTAATTGACCAGACTGTTGAACAGTTTATGATCTTGGGCACTGTCGAAAGCAGTAGAGCAATCAGTCTACAATCGGTGGAGACTAACAACTGGCTGCAATACAAACAGAGTTGATAGCTAAATAGAGAGAACAGGAAATGAGAGAGGCACAGAGAGCCCTGCTAAAACCGTGCTGCCCAAGGCTGCTAGTGCGAAGCCCAAGGCAGTGGCCTCTGCGGGGCAGCATCAGAGGCTTCACTAAAATGGTCTGGCCAAGTCTCCATTTAGAAACAAACAAGAAAACTACAAGTCCTGGGAGGAAGGAGTTAGTATTCAGAGATGCTACTAACATGTGATTTTCAACACAATGGTGTAAGGCATGTAAAGAAACAGTAAAGCGAAGTGTATATACAGGAAAAAAGAAAAAGCAGGCAACAAAAGGACCCTTTGGGGAGCCAGATATCAGAGTTGACAAAGATTTCAAAGCAGCTATAATCAGTATGTCTGAGGAACTAAAGCAAACTAAGATTGAAGAAGCTCAAGAAAATGAGGACAATGCTCATCAAATAGAGAATATTAATAAAGACATATAAATCATACAAAAAGGGAAGGTCTGGAATTGAACAGTGCAATTACTAACATGATAATTTCCTGAAGCCTCAACAGTACATTTCAGCTGGAAAAAGAAAGTATCAGCTAACTTTATAAAGACAGAGGCATGAGAATAGTGCAATAGGAATATGAGTTTCAAAACAAGAAGGCAGAAAAATAACAGCCTCAGGAGAAAAAAAAAGTGTGGCAAATCAACAAGCACACTAACATAATGTAATGGGTGTATAAGAAACAAAGGAGAGATGGAAAGTAACAGGAAAAAGAACAACAACAAAAAACCTAGAGGAGTTAAAACTTCCCAAACTTAATTAGAAAACCCACATCCAAGTTCAACAAACTTCAAATAGGATAAATGCAGAGATCCACGCAAAGACATATGACTATGAAAACATTAAAAAAAAATAAAACATCTTGAAAGCAATAGAGAAAGAAAACCTCATCACAGAAAGGAGCCTCCATCAAATTAACAGCTGGGTCATCATCAGTGGAGGCCAGAAGGCAACATGATGACACATGCAGTGCTGCAAGCAACAGCAACACAAAACAAAACCAAACAACAACAACAACAAAACCTCAACAGAAACCTGTCAACCAAAAACCCATTATCCAGCAAACCTACCTTCACAAATGAAAGACATTGTAAGACCAGCAAAAATGAAGATAATTCAATGATAAAAGAGCTTCCTTAAAATAAATATTGAAGACAGTTCATGTTGAAAACAAGTGAGTTCAGACAGTAACTCAAATCCACACGAAAAAATTGAACAGATAATAAACAGGTAAGTAAATAAGGTCTATAACAGTGATTATGTAAATAATTGCAAAGGATAGTAGAGTGGCATATTTCTTCTGCAGTCTTCACTTAACTTTTTAAAAAAGCAATGTTCTATGTATATAATCATAATGCTGAACTATAACTTACATAAAAGCAATATATTTGGTGACAATACAGTGTAAAAAAGGTGGGAGCTAAAATGTTATTGGGTAAGGAAATGACACCAGGGTAACGCATATCTAGAAAAACAAATGAAGAGAACCAGAAATAGTACATCAGAAGGATTATATAAAAAGTTACACTAATATACTTGCTGTCCTTTCTTCTCCCAACCACTTTAAAAGACATACAGTTATATAAAGTAATAATTAGTGCAATGTCTTGTTGGGTTTGTAATGTTTAAAATGTAATATGTACAAATATAATTAGAACGTTTAAAAATGTAATATGTACAAATATAATTGGAAAGGGAAGAGAGAATATAGGAAGAACATTTCTATGTCTCACTATAATTTAGTATAATCTAAAATACATTCTGGGAAGCTAAGTTGTATGTTTTAAGTCCTAAAGCAACTAAGAAAGGAAAAAAATGCATTAAAAACTCTAAAATAATTAAAATGTTGCACTAGAATACACTAACTTAATGCAGCAGAAGAAAGCAATAAAAGAAGGAAAAGAAAAAAAATAAATGAGACATTTAGAAACAAAACGTATAATGGAATACATGAAGTCCAACTATATCAATGACAGTACTAAATGTGAATGGATTAAACAACCCAATGAAAAGGCAAAGATTCTCAGACTGGATAAAAAATAAGATACAAATATAGACTGTCTACAAAAGAAACACTTTATATTCAAACATTCAGACAGACTGAAAGTAAAAACGTGGAAAAGGAGAATGGAAACCAAACCATAAGAAAGATGTAGTGGCTATACTAATGTCAGACAAAATATAACTCAAGACAAAAAAACTGTACTAAACTCTAGAAGATTGTTTCGTAGTGATAAAAGGGTGATGAGGAAGATATAACAATTACACACATACATGAGGTTAGCAACCAAGCTTCAAATTACATGAGAGAAAATTTTACAGAAGTGAAGAGAGAAGTAGATAATTCAACTATGATAGCTGAAGAATTTAACACCCACTTACAATAATGGACAAAACACAGCAGAAAATCAAAGGCAAACAGAAGACTTGAACAATGCTGTAAGCCTACCAGACATAACAGGCATCTATACAACATTTCACTCAACAACAGCAAATAGGTATTCTTTTCAAGGGCACATGGGACAAACTTTAGGCTACACAACATTCTTGCCATCGGCGTAACCTCCATAAATTAGAAATGACTGCAATTATAAAAAGTTTTTCTCCTATCACAAGAGAATGAATTAAAGGTTAAACGAATCATTTTTCTTTCTGAAAAAAAAAAATATGGACTTTCATAATGCACATCCATTCACATGTGTTGATTGCCATCTCATGTGAAATATTTCTTACATACATGGGACCACATTTACATAGGCCAAACAAAGCCAATGGTGACTACGAATTATTAACAGGTCTGCAGTAAGATCACTTAGAAAGTAAATTTCTGGCCAGGCGCGGTGGCTCACGCCTGTAATCCCAACACTTTGGGAGGCTGAGGCGGGTGGATCACGAGGTCAGGAGATCGAGACCATCCTGGCTAACACGGTGAAACCATGTCTCTACCAAAAATGCAAAAAATTAGCCGGGCATGGTGGCGGGCACCTGTAGTCCCAGCTACTCGGGAGGCTGAGGCAGCAGAATGGCATGAACCCGGGAGGCAGAGCTTGCAGTGAGCCCAGATGACGCCACTGCACTCCAGCCTGGGTGACAGAGCCAGACTCCGTCAAAAAAATAAATAATTAAATAAATTTCTAATCCATTCAAAAGTAGACAGGAAAGTAATCAACAGCAAAAGTGTTGATAGTGTAACCGCCTTTCCTACTGACTGTATGAAGCAATGAATACTGTGGTATTACTTCTTTACTTCTATGAACAGAAGGCATTTCGTAGATAATACTGGACTTCAAGCATGAAAGAGTTATTTGCCTATCTTCTTTTGTCAATTGTTTAATACTGGATCTCAGTAAAATACTTTATATGGCAGTTTCATCGTTTCATCTTAACTAAAACATGCAACATCCGTAATCCAGCCAAGGATCCCTGTTTACATAAACAAGCCTTTGTGTATAGACAAGGGAAGGAGGCAAGGGCATTGGGAGCTATGTTCATGGGAAAGGAAGAAAAGCATTTTCGTAGCAAAACTGAAGTGAAGTAGCTGGAAATAATTGAAAGTACAAATGCTAGTTCAATATATTTTATCTCTTGAGTACGTACACAAAGTCCAATCAAGACAAACTAGAATGAATGACAGGTGTGGCCACAAGCAGACGGTATCACACATGATAGGAAAGTAGTGTGCTCCCCTGAAAGCTCCCGTTTTCAGAGCTCTGCAGGGTCTAATGAGGTGATGTCTTTAATTAGAATTCAAGTGCTAAGGACAGTCCACTGTGCACTAATGAATAACGAAACATCTGGACACGGTATGAGTAAAGGCTAAGAAAAATGCTTACAAATCGATTGTAAGACATGCAGTGCTCATAAAAGGCACTATATACTCTTATTTTAAAGACTGTCTGACTGATATATATATATATATCTATCTATATATAGATAGATAGATAGATATATATATATATATATAAAAAAACTTCTACCCCACTCCACAGGGAGGAAATTTTTTCAGATTTCAGGGACTAATCATTACCTTTACAGTGATTTTCATCCCAAGGATACACACAGTTCTGGAGTCCATTGCAGACCAAAGTGTTATTAATACACATGTTACTATGGCAGAAGAATGTATTGCCTTCACAAGGAGCTAAAAACAAGACGAACAAGACAAAGGAAGAAAGTTATAACTGACATTCAGTGGTAAATCACTCATATTACAAATCCAAAAATAAAAAGATTAGAAGAATTTACCACGAACTGAGATAAATGATCTGTCATGAGATGTTCAGAAATGGTGCCGTAATGTTAATTATTTCTTGTGTTACTAACAGTGCTGGCAATCCTCTAGAGAGGCTCAGCTTATAAAAACGCCATAGGGTATTTTCCATCATTAAAATGAAGTACATTATCCACATTTTTTTAAGTAGGCATATTTATTTAGCAAACCTGAAGCATCTACCATGTGCATAAATTATACTTTATACTAAATTAAGAATGTATAAATCTAGTTTTACTGTGCAAAAACACCTAATAGAAATTTTTAAATAATTTTGAAAAATATATACTTACCAAGTACTAATGAATAAAATATACTAAAGCAAACCCTGTAACATTACTTAAGAATATGAAAGAAACAAAATGACATGGAAATTCAGAATCATGAACAAATTAATCCTGAACAACACGAAACATATATTATGCTTATTACATTTAATATACATGGTGATAAAATTAGCTTACTATGCACGTATTTTATACACTCTAGTGATTCGATATACAATGATCATTATCTCCAGATTACAATGCACACTGAAGGGACTGGGAGGTAAAAATGAACTTCAAGCAGGTACAAAATACGGCTAAATAATGATGAGAAAACAGGAGTTGAATATAGCAATGTAAAATGTTAGATATGATTTCAACATGAGGAAAAATACATTTATTTCATTATTAGAGTGACAGAATATTTTAAGTGTGCTCAGTCTTTACAGTAATATTGCATTGTGGATGTTTGCTTACAGAAAGTGCTTTTAAAAGCTAACTTTTGATTTTACCTTTGTATTCACTCCACGTATCAGACAAAATGCAATTTTAGTGTTTCTTTTTTCAATAAAGGCTCTACAATCCTTTTAAGGACAGGCATTCTAGCAAAATCTATTGCACACAAAACACATTAATTTCCAATGATTAATAAATGAAGATACATTAATGATCAGTACTATTGAGACACTGAAGTCATGTTATAATGAGCTTTTCACTTTCAAAACTGCATATTACGTAAGTTTTAGAGTTAGCTTCTTTACTACGTTTGCTACGCTAATCACAACTGTCAAAACAATATTTTGCAATTTAATATACATAAGGCAACTTACTATATTTTAATACTCCCAGAAATCCTTAAAAAACAAAACAAAACAAAACAAAACCACTCAAATTCTGAAAACCAAAAGCAAGGCAAAGAAATAGCTAATTCAAGCAATGGGATTCTTCCTGGTTCTTCATCCCCTACCTCCTCCCACAACCCAAAACAGTTACCTCTCTATTCATTTTGACTTCATGTTCCCGGTTAAAGAGTAAAAAGCATGTAACAGTAATTTTGGAAAATGAAAATTAGAGTAGAAAATAGGTAGTAGTCATTTTGTAAAATAAAGTATCAGGCTTAACACTTTATTTTGCTAATGATGTGTTAAGTACTGCTCTGTATAAATCTTTCATAATGTAAAATTTAACAATTCAGTGTATTATTGTAAAGACCTGCTCTTTAGTAAGCAACTAAATTTGAATTTCTGTAGCCGACTATAATGGCTTCTGCAGAATTGATAAGTTCTGTTAATTACATAGTCAATGTTGTCAAAATCTGTACACAGTGTATAAAGGTGGTTTTGGAAAATTTTATATTAGAATGGCTGCAAACTGCTTTTGTAAAAATGAGTAGAATACTTATTATCTAACAAATTGTAGTATACATTTTGAAAGAATACCCATCAAGTAAGAAATACCTTTAAAAATTACATATTTACTGACCTATTAGTTGGAAAAATTATTATAATAATTATTAAATAGGATGGGTTAGTTTAAAAATTTAAACATACAAATAAAAATAACATTGCATTCTGGTAATCGAGTGAAGTGCATTAGTATGTTGGTAAGGGCACTGAAATTTGAATTCCAAATAATCCAAATGGGATTGTGTTTGTTTCTGCTGCTTAGTAGTTGTGAAACTTTCAATGTTCCAGGATCAGTTATTAAATATTAGTGGTGTTACCGAGAATGCAATAGGTAATCCAGGAATGTCAATAAATCACATTTTAACATGCTTTTACGCATTAAATAATTAAGCAAATATGCCAGTTAATTGGGAGTTAGCCTCTCTTTTGTTTGTGGTGTATTTTTTTCTTTTCTTTTCTTTTCTTTTTTGTTATCCTAGGTATTTCTCCATGTATTTTCTTCCTTACTTTTGCTAATAGTTACAGAATTGCTGTGCAATGAAAAATAAAAACAAGTAAGCAAATCCTGATACGGTTAAGAAGCAATGTAGAGGCTGGGCATGGTGGCTCACGCCTGTAACCCCAGCACTTACTGACGCTGAATATTTCTCTCAGCAATGCATAAATGCAATGATGCATTAAAGACTCTCATTTCTCTCCTGGTTAAGAACTACAATAGCACCAATAGACCAAATCAAACCTACATTCTCATTGCTCTTTCAAAGACTTGTGTGCACTCGGTCCACCAATACGTGTAGCCCCTTGCTCCCAGCACACTCCTGACACATCCGGCACCATGTCCACACAGCACTCCCTCCGTTTACCTGCCCCAGATACCCCTTCTCCACTCTGCCATCCAAATCACATCAGAACCCTATGATCTATAGTCTTAAAATATTATTCCAGTCTATCAGAAAATTTAGCTGTTCCTTAAGTCCTATTTCACATGTAATTTTTAAAAGTTTTAAGAGTGTATTTTATCACCTTTTTTGTATATATTTGAGGCTTGTGACCATGCTTTTTTTTTTTAAATTAACGTTTATGTTTAATCTCTCATAATGGCTTAAGTTGTAGTAAATAATAGATGTTTGTAGTAAATAATAGATGTTTTAACTGATTAATATTACTTAGCAAAAGGTAAACTCTGACTGGGCTGCATACCTTAGTATATTCCAGAGAGCAGAAGACTCTAACAAATGTGTTTATTGGTTGAGAACTAATCTTCAAGGCCACGGTCTTCCAATCAAGGCCAACGTCTTCCAGTCAAGGCCACAGTCTTCCAGTCAAGGCCACGGTCTTCCAGTCAAGGCCACGGTCTTCCAGTCAAGGCCACAGTCTTCCAGTCAAGG